TATATATATATATATATATATATATATATATTTGAGAAAGCCCAATAGCTAGTATATTAAAAAAAGTAGGATAGAGATAGGTTGTGTCGGAGGGCCCAAACACGACACTCTGCTTACACGATAACCACCATATGCAAATGGTTCCAAAAAGAGAAAATACAAAAAAAATACATGAGAGACCTAAAGAAAAGAAAAATAAAAAAGTGTCAAAATCAGGAGCATCAGGTAACTAAAGAGCAACCCAATTTTGTCTTGTCTCTGCCTCTAGTTCTAGGGAAGGAACTAGCTAATAAATTGGTGAGATGAGTGTTATTGTCAGTAGTAATCAATGTATCATCCAATAAATTCCCGAGCTCAAGTCAGTCTCCATTCTTCTTCTTCCTCCTGGAATAAACTTGTCATTCCTCGTTCGAAGATTGGCTCGCATGGTCAGTGGATTGGTCTAAAGCGTGTCGGACATGTGTAGGTTGTTGAACATTAGTGCAACTACTTGTACCATCTGATTATTTATCGGATCGAGGGAGCGAGAGCACTCTCGTGTGTCCTTGCATGTAAGTGGACCTCTTCAATAACAGTGAGTGGTATAAGCACATTTGTATCTGTATCTGCAGTATGGTGTTCTTCATCAGGAAATGCGGTGTTAGCAAGGGGGGATCCACAGGCAAATCAGACACCAAATCCTGTCATTTGGGAACTTCCTCCATAGATTGAGCAGATGTGTCCATAGCAATGGGGTCAGACCCCTCTTTGTTTGCTTGAGTTTTAGCTTTCAAGTTTGGATGGAGCCTGTGAAATTTATCAAGTGTAGGCTCAAACATCTTACAGTGGGTACAATAAAAAAGTTTATGTTCCATGACAATTTGTTGTCAATATCCATTGTGAGTTGTGCCCAGCCAGACTCTAGTTAGGTTAAAAGTGGGCATATTTAGTTTCATAGGATCTCCAAGAATGACTCTAATAGAATAAAGAATCTGATGATTAAAAAAATGCAACTTGAGATCAAGTAAACTAATCTATACCAGAACAGTAGGAGACTCATGATTTGGGTCAAAATCAGGAGACCACCTGAGTAACTTCATTGACTTGTCTGCAATGTTGAGATATATTTAAGAGAAAATCCGAGTATAGTCTTCAGCTAGGGTTAACTGAATCAACATGTCTCCCATCCAAAAGTGTCACTTTACACTTGCCTACAAGTTTGAGATCGTCAACACTCCTTCTGATAACTTCCATAGGTGGTTACCCCCACTGAAATTTCTCAATAAGAACGAACTTGGATTTCTTAGTTAGGGTTGAAATTTCTGAATAAGAGAAAAATAATGTTGTTTTCCCACTCTTTCTACTTATCTTCTTAAGAAAAGGACAGTAACTCGTACCATCTCGACATTCCCTATAGCTTGAGGGGAAGACAACAGTAGATTTCACAAGATTATTACCTATCACGTGGGCGAAAGAAACTTTGTTAGGATCAACCGAAGAAGAAGGAAGCGCCATAACGGCGATCCTTCAGAAGCCGAACCCGCGGAAACAGATGCAGGAAGGAAGAGGTAAAGCAGAAGACGAAACAATCGTGAATTGGTCGAAACAGCAGAAGCGAGCGCGATCGGGTCGAAACTATATTAAAAGCCCAAGAGCAATTATATTAAAGAGAAAATGGTACAGATAGGTTGTGTGAGTGGGCCCAAATGGACAACTAACCCACACGGTGCAACACACAAAAAAGAAAAATAAAAACCCAAAAATAGATGGTATATATAAGATCAATCGGGACGACCCAATTTAGTTTTGTCTCTGCCTCTAGTTCTTAGAAGGGAACCAACTAACAAATTGGTGAGATGCGTACCATTGTGGGAAGTAACCAAAGAATCATCCATTAGATTTCTTAGCTCAAGTAGATTTCCACTCTTCTTTGTTCTTCCTGAAAGTGTAGACCTGTCATTCCTCATCCGAAGATTGTTGCTCATTTGGATGAGGTGGTAGTGTTGTAGTAGAAAGATTGTCAACAGCTGTACCTATAATAGGTTCTAGTGTATGTGAGGTATGAGTTGTCGCCTCTACCCCTGATAGTTCCTGAATATGGGGAGCTGCAAGGTTCTCCTGATTATCAGTCCGTGTAGGTAGGGATTCTTCAGTAATATTTTCAATAGGGTTTGAAAGTGTAGGTTGCTCAACAGAGCCATCCAGCTTCATATCAATCGCTGATACAATATTTTCAGGGGGGTCCAGAGGGGCAATTACGTCAGACACCAAATCCGGTCATGTGGTAGTTTTCTCTCTCTAAGTGGAACAAATATGTCGAGAGCAGTGGGGTTAGATTCATCCTTATTCACTTGATATTTAGATTTCAAATTAGGTTGAAGCCTATGACATTTATCAAAGGTATGCCCAAATATCTTACAATGAGAACAATAAGGAGATTTATACTCCATGGTGATTTGTTACCAATATACATTATGAGTTGTGTCCAACCAGACTTTAGTAACATCAAAAAGTAATATCTCTTTCCACAAGTATTTTGGCCACATAAGGTCTGGTTAGGTTGAAAGTGGGTAGATCTATCTTCATCGGGTCCCCAAATATGACCCCAATAAAGTAAAAAATATGATGATGAAAAAAGTGCAGCTTGAGATCAGGTAGACTAAACCATACTATTACAGTAGGATATTCATTATTGGGGTCAAAATTAGGAGACCACTTGAGTAACTTCATTTATTTGCCTACAATGTTAAGATATTTTTTTGGAGAAAATCTGAGTTCTTCAACCATTATTAATTGAATTAACACATATGTCCCATCCATAAGTCTCATTTTTCACTTTCCTGCTAGTTTGAGATCATCAAAACTTTTCCTGATAACTTTCATAGGTGGGTGGTCCCACTGAAATTTTTCAATAATAGCGAACTTGAATTTTTCAGTGAGGGTTGAAATTTCTAACTTGGAGAAAAAAGTGTTGTTTTCTCACTTTTTCTAATTACATTCTTAATAAAGAGGCCGTCACATGTACCATCATGATACTCTTTATAAATAAAGGAAAAGACAACCGCCAACTCTACGTGAGGATTACCCATCACGTGGGCAAATGAGGCTTTGTCAGGTTCAACTGCAGAAAAAGGAGCTCCATCACATTAGGGAAAAACCCTGCCAAGTCGAGCAGAGGGCAAAAAAGTCAAAGACGGTCGGGGCGAAGCCGCAGAAGTTGAACAGCGAACAGGCGCAACTCGACGAGTTCTACGAAGACAAACAAAACAGCCGTGCAGAAGACGGAGCCTCGACGAAGGTCAAAGAAGACGGCGGAACAGAGGAGCCGAAGCCCTTCGTCGTCGGACAGAACGAAAAAATGGCGCGAATGCATTAGGAGGGTAGACGACGTGCGAAACTGCCGAACCTTCGTCGTCGAGTACGAGATGACCTTCGTCGTCGAGCACGACGAAATCAATGGATTGAAAACCGAAGGATTCAACGCAAAGAATCACCGTCTAGCGAAACCCTAGAAGAGCTACCCGCCACCGACGCCATTTTTACTCTGTCCTAAGTTTGTGCACGTGAACTTTGTTTTTTTATCACACCGCGAAATAGGTAATATGAAATGCCTTCTCTAAGGATTTTTTTTTTTTTTTCATTTCTGAGCACAGTAGCATGAATTTTTTTGTGAAACAGACGGCAGTTTGGAATGTTTCGAGTTAGACTTGCACAACATTATGTCCAATGTTCATCCTTTTTTAAGCAATTTTGATGCTTCAGATATATCAGTGCAAACCATCTCGTGAAAAGGGCGACATTTGAGTGATTTTCATTTTGGTCAATGTATTTTGAATCAGATTTATGCAACACTACATAAGTCCATCTTTAACATGGCATTTGAATAAATTATTTGTTGGATACTTGTTGAGATCAATACGAAGTTGATTTAAGATAAGTTGGGGACTATGTGATATTTAATTTATTTAATGTGAAGGATATTATGAAAGACTATGAAGTAATCAAAAAGTGGTAAAATAATTTCTATAATACTCCAACACGCTTTTAATTTTTTCATTTAATTTAATTTGAAATAAAAATATGGCACTTAATAGAACGCAATGGAGAAAAAGGATTCATGTAGCCGACCCAACATAGTAGGATTAAGATTTTGTTGTTGTTGTTGTTGTTGTTGTTGTAATTTGAAAGGCCAGTCATCATATCTCAACTTACATCAAACACTATTATAAGCAAATTATTAATGTGTTACTATGCTATAAAGTTTATATTTGAATACATGAATACTTTAAAATTTTAATATCAAACTTAGTAAATACTAATTTGTAATAAGTAAACCTATATTACTAAATATAAAACTAAAAAGATTGTTATTTGAATTTTCTCATTTGGAATTACCTTTAATTTTTTATTTTCCTTTTGCTAATTAGTTTATATGGCAAAAACATTATTAGAACTACTATTTTTTGTTAAATGGTAACATGAAGTTTATGGATTTTGAAGTACTCACCCTTTTCTTACATGATTTTATGTGTATATAGGTTTTGCCTTGCATAAAATATTTTTCCCACAATCAATTTTTCATGTGCATTTATTATTTGCCATTATATGTACATTAAGCGGGAGGAGGCATGAACATTTGTTCTTTCCAAAATTTTCCTTTGTGTCTTTAGTTTTCATTTTTTTTTAATATTTTCTGTGTTTTATGAATGTCTGATTTTTCATATAGCCTTTGTGTTGTTGAATGAGTGAGATTTGTCTAGAATTTTATTTTTCTCTCAAAGCATTTGAAGTGTCTAATGTTTATATAAACATTAAATTGTTTGGGAGAAAGACACGTGTTGACCTCATTTTGAGGTCATTACTCTTTTTCTTAGGATCCTAGGATCTAGCTCTAGGGATTCCTATTAACTATCTTAGAAAACTAGTATTGGAATCCATCCCCTTAGAAATTCTAACCACCTATTTCTCTTGTGATGTCCTACATTGATGATCTCAAAACCATCGTCGTATGGCCGAGTGATTAAGGACTATCATGTGGAGACTCAGGGAGAAGTTCTCAATAGGATCTCAAACCCTAAGAAAACCTCTTCAGGACTTTATCATCACACACACACACACACAAAATACATAAAATTCACTAAGTTGCACAAGATCGGACTAAAATTGAACTTAAATAATGGGTGAAAATGTGAACTTCTCCGGACGACCTCTGACGACAAAATAGATTGCGCCAACGCGTCCGGGACATCAATTTTAGAAGAAAAGACACCCATATTGCTATAATTTTTTACACAAACAAATTGCACGCATATCAATGAATTCGTTAAAACGACATCCGACGACGAAGCGTTAAACAACATTATTTCAAAGACATAAAACCAAACAATAGGATAGTTGGGAAATTACCAGGGTTT